AAATGGAAATCAGATTATAAGCAAGAGAAGGAGTATGAAAAATCTTTAACAGATCCAACTTACGAGAGGGGGTCGGTAAGATGCCAGCACCTGAATTGGCTATATTTACCGACCTCCCATCACCTATGGTGATAGTCTCAGTGCCGTTATACGGAGATGAAACAGTTAAATTGTCCAGCGATTGAGTCAGATGCGAGGTCGCTCCGAAATCCAAATACCAATTATTATATGTGTTATCCGAGTTCGTAGCTAGCGCCGTGGGCTGGTTCGTCTGTTGTTGAGGAGTGTAATTGGGATCCATACGATGCCAGCAATTGCTAGCAGTATGACCTTTCTTTGAACAAATTTGACAAACAATCGTTGAAGAGGTAGAGTTTTTATTTGCAGTTGAGGCCGATTGAATGTTTCGACCAGGACCACGCTTACCTCGACCACGAGCAGAGAATAATGCAGTGTTTGGATCAGAGGATTGGCGAAGAAGATCAGAGGCAATGTTTACCTCTTCACTCAAAAGTAACGCATATAACTGATCTAGTGTGATCGGAGTTAGCATTGTGCGTATGGCCGTCTTGAAGGACTGATAAGAAGGAGGTAAACCATTAAGAATATACAGAATCACATCTTCTGTGTCAACAGCCGAACCCGACGCAGCAATTTGATCAACTAAAATCTTGATTTCTGATAAGTATTGCGTCACCGTCTGATTCTTGAGCGAGATATGATGAAGAGCGTTCTTAAGTTGAATAACTTTAGAACGATTAGTCGACTGAAATCTTGATTCAAGAGTTGTCCAGATTTCAGATGTAGATTGAAGATGGACCACATACTGTAAAATCGTCGTTGAAATCGTTGAGCATATCGCCGCAGACAAATTTTGATCGATCAGAGTCGTGAGCTGAGCCGACTCATTCTCTGACGAACTTCACTCAGAGGACGAAGTAGCGGTAGATTGAGAGGAAGGCGGTTCAAGAAACTTATCGAATTTGTTGGCCTTGAATATCTTGATGATTTGAGCACGCCAGATTGAGTAGTTGTCTCCAGAAAGTTGAATCGAGACAATCGATTTGAGATGAGCTACAACAAATTTCAGAGCAGGTGATAGAATTGCTTCGTTGGATCCATCATTTTCCAAAGAATCGTGAGGATTGGAGGTAGCGGAGAGCGACATTTGCGAAATGATCAGGATCTTTCGCCGTCTGATACCATGAAGAAACCTAATCTAGATTTCAAGAAGAAGCAGAGGGAGAGAGAGAGAAGAGGACAGAGACCGTATTAACAAAATGAGAAAAGCTTGTCTTATTCATCACAGTAGTGGAATATCTATATATCAGTTACATATGAGTATCCACGTCATTAATCCTTATTTACAAATATGTTTATTTATTTTGTACTAATACTCTCTATATGCTTCCACTTTTTTAAGCTTAAGGTTTTTGTCTGCTCATTCACTTGCTTTGGATATATTTTTGCAGTTTATTCTCTTTACATTAATTATCTGTCTCTGAGCAATTATGAGCCTCTTCAACTACCACAATATCTCTCAACTGAGCAGTAGTTCTCTTGCTTTGCCATTCACTTTCTTTGGATAGCTTGTTTCTTATTCTCTTTACATTATCTGTCTCTGAGCAATTAGGAGCCTCTTCAACTACCACGATCTCTCTCAACTGAGCAGTAGTTCTCTTGCTTTGCCATATCATGATTACTAGCATTTCAAGATGTGCAGACCTTTGTATTAATGCAGTTGTGAATATATAGAGCCTATGTTCTCTAACGTTCCGGTGATTTTGGCATTATCGATGTCTTTGCATTAAGATTACTATTACCTGCAGGGCTGGGTTTGATGATGTTTTGGATCATTTATTTGATCATTTGTCATTGAACCCACCTTTTTTTTTTTTTTTTTTATGAATTGTTGGGGAGTTTTTTTTTTATTTGTAACTACATAGTTTTTTGGTTTCTTATTTATTTTAGATTTTCTTTTTCATCTTACACGCCTTGCTCAATTGTACTTGTTATCTTGTAACTCTTTGTTTTTTATATGGACTTCACCAAGCTCATCTTGATCAGTTGATTGAGAGATTTGACTGCCAACCATAAAGTTTAGGATTCGGAACATGCATATGTGATGTCTGTGTGACTTTGCCTTAATTAGCTCAAAAATCTTCAAAAATATATGGACTTAAATTAAAATAAATAAATAGAAATAAGAGATTGGTTGATAAAAAAAAAAAAAAACGGGAAAAAATTACAATATAATTAAGCTTTCACATGTTCCATAAATTTTGTTACACAATATAGTTAATAATGGGTGACATGAAATAAATAGGGATTAAAGCTGAATATTTATTATTGTGAACCTGTGTGTAATTAATGATAAAATGGATATATGCCTTAAACGATTGGATGATTTAGATCTCGAATAGTAGAGTACCTTCTTATGTTAACATCATTATGTTATAGATTTATGTGAGTATTATTTGGATAAAATTAAAAAAAATGAATTGAACTTATTTTATTTGGTTGGTTTGGTTCGATTGTTAAATACATTTCATATTTTTATTGTAATTTAAACTTTCTTTGGATTTTGTTTGTTTGGTCAAATATTTCTTTGGTAAGATAAATCTAATTAAAAATTGAATTACAATAATATATTTAAATAATAAATCAATAAAATCTGGGAACTATTATGAAGTAATTGATTGAAATGCCAGCATTTCAAATGTTTATTTGTTTTTCCAAATTATTATTTTTTGATTTTATAATGAAGTAACATTATAACTCAAAAACACCAAACCAAACTTTGGTTAAATTGTACATATAGTTTGGTCGGTTCAGTATAGGCATAAAGAGATTTTTTTTTCACACCCTTTTATTTCGCCTGCTCTGCTAGGGCTTTGCTCTAGCTCTCTCCGACGTTGTTCTACTTGGCTGGGGCTACTAGCTTCGGTGGTGCCGACAGTTTCTGTACCTTACAGGGAAGTTCTCCTTCCTTTCTAGTTTTGTTTTTGACTTTTCATTTGTTGGATCCTTTTTCATTTCCGACGAGTGCCAGAATGGCACCGAAGCTTTGCGACCCTGATTTTTTAGGGGTTTCATCTTATTCGTGTTCTTTTTTAGATGTTCTTGCTTCCTCGTCTTTTGTCGCTACATTTTCAGAACTTAGGGTTTCCTCTTTTCGTTGCTTACCTTCCCTGTGGATCTCAGAACAGGAGATCAATGCTTTAGTTGCCCCTTTTCAATTTTCTTTAGTTGGTTTTTTTCCCTCCAAACGACCATCTCTTGATTTCATTCGTAGATTTTTCTTTAATCTCAAATTGAATGGGGAATTTTTGGACACCTTGCTGGATCCGCCGCATATCCTTATCAAGATGAAAAACGACCTTGATTATTGTCAGGTATTCTTTCATAAATCTTATTTAGTCTATAATTGTTACATGAAGCTTACCAAGTGGTCACCCCTTGTTAATATTGGTGTTGAGTCGCAGATCATCCCGATTTGGGTATCCTTCCCTCAATTGCGTCCCCACCTCTTCTCTCCCTGCATTCTTCACGATTTGAGTTCTCTCTTTAGAAAAGCACTAAAAATTGATTCGGCTACCTCCATTGGTTATAGGCCGTCCTTAGCTCGTGTTTTGGTGGAGCTGGATATTACTAAATCCTACCCTGATAAGGTCTGGTTAGGCCCTAAGATGCCCGGCTATGTTCAACAAGTGGTTATGGAGGATTTCCCTCTTTTTTGTGCTTCTTGTAAGAGTATTGGTCATACGGTTGGCAATTATCATCCTATGGACGACCCATCTATTCCTTAAAAGGTTTATAACAAGATTTCTGTTACTCCTGAGCTAGTTATTTCCTCTCCCCCTCCCTCTGTTCAGCCGTTGCTTGCTGTTGAGAATTTTTCGAATGAGGTGGTTGCTGTAGATTTAAACCATGCGAACAATTTGGCTGGGAATGAGGTTGTTCTTGAGGGGGTTTCACATGCTGTTTCTAATCCTAATTTAGCCCAGGTAGACTCTATGGTGGTTGGGGTTGTTCCTGTTCCCATGTCCCTTGGTTATGTGTAAGTGATGCTGGTGAATTAAATTGTGGTATTGTAACATCAGATCTGCTCTAGGATCGTCCGGGACGATCAGTTCAAATTTTGTTCTAGATTATGTACAGAAGTTACAGGAATGATTTCCTGTAGGGATCGTCCAGGCCGATCTGGGATCGTCCCGGGACGATCAGTTCATGGCAAAAGTCGGAGAGCAAATCGTCCAGGAAATTAATTATCGTCTTGAGAAATCATCCCAGGCCAATTGGATTTTGTTCAGATCGTCCAGGACGATTGTGCGATCGGCCGGGCCGATCAGAGTATTATTTAGCTGAAATCAGCTCATTTTGAAGAGAGAGAAAATCATTAAATATCTAAAATCATTTTGAGGAGAGAGAAAGTCGAGGAGAAACTTGGAAAAGTTGATTTTCGGGCAACGCCGGGCCATTTTCGTCCGACGAGACAGTTCAAGAAAGTGTTGTACGCAAGGTAAGGCACATTCTGCCTTTCTAAATTTTCAGAACGGTGAAGGTTGAATGAGTTTTCTGTCCGGATTTCATTTTCGTTAGCAAATTTTGTCCGTATTTTCCGACTGGTTTAATTTTTACCGCGTAACTTTTGATATGTTTCTGAGGTGCCGAATGCGCACATTTTGATTATTTTCTAGAGATTTTTGACCGGATAGTTTTGATTTGGCAGTGTTTTCTGCTGACTGTAAATTTTCACGATGTCTGAAAATGTTGTGGCAGTAGAATAAAAGTCTTATAATGTTGTTGTGAATGTTCTGTGGTAATTTGGTGAAATTC